CCCTCTTAGCCGGTCCTGTTCGGACTACCGTCGCTCCGGCTTTCTTCTCTTCTCCCTTTACTAGATCTGTGTTGGTTATACCACCGTTCTAGTTTCTTTATGTGTTAACTGTTTTACATACTGCACTTTTAATTTCTGCATATCATTTAGTAGTCTTGCTACTGTCTACTTTCCTTTCAGTCTTTTAATCTACATATTTTTGTTTCCTTGATCCACTTCGGGTATATATATATATATATATATATATATATATATATAAAATAGCATTGATAATGTAATTTTCTTAAACATTGCCATTTTATCATGAATTATCACATTAAGGAAAATTATTAAATTTTTTATTAATTAATTTCAACTTTAAATTTATCGTATATTTTAATTAGTTGATAATGTAAAAAAAATTATCTGATCAAAATTAAACAATAACTATTTATAATGGATGTCATTTGCGTGACTACTCTTATTGCTACATTTTATTTTACTTTTATTTGATTTACTAAGTATTACAAATTACACAATTTTTATTTTTTCTTTATTATTTCAATCTCGGCGCAATACTTCTTTAGGCCGAATTGAAATTTGTATATATTTTTAAATTGATATTTCAATAAAATGTTATTAACATATTCTTAGTTATTGTTGATTAAAAATTATAAAAATAATTTAGATTTTATCCATAATTTAATAATTTTTACTTATAATTTAAATTTTTTTATTTTTATAAATTTTGAATAAATGAGAATTTGTTAGCAACACTCCTCGTCTATCATTCTAACATTAAAACTAACATTATATCACTCATTTCATATTATTCCTCGGAGACTTTCATGGTAATATTTATCACAAACTACAAAAACATGTCTAATTCTCAAAATAAAAAAAAATTATGTATCAATTAAAACCTCTTACCATAATATTTCGAATATTAATGAATTTTTTTTATCTTCATTTAATTAACCATAATTTCCTTTTATCTATTTGACTAATGATAATTTGTAAGAAAATTGATCTTATCAAACCAGTTGAGAGTAAAGTATGGTTGAGACATATATGACACATTGACACAAGCTGAAACATGAGAGTTTACATAGGGTTTATTTTGAATCTACTATGTGTTATAGACATCTCCCTAGAGAGATTGTAATACTCATGTACCAGAAAGTAAATGTATTGTTCCTGTCCCACCTATGTTGGCAATGGAGATATGTAAGAGTGCAATGGTAACATCTTCATTTTCTTTATTTAAAATAAATAAATTTTTATAGCGAATAAAAAAAATAATTTTAATTTTTATTTGTGGATTTAAAAATAAGATAAAGACAAAATTTACGTCTCTTTCGTAAGAAGGTTTCATAAAATTCTAAAAGGATTTAAAACTTATAAAGGAATAATTTTGAAGCTTTAAGGTAATAAATAAGACTTAATTTTTCCTCTAGCAAATCATTTAATTCACATTGACTACATATAAATTTAGATTTTTCACTAAGGATATTTTCAAAATATTCATTACAATGAAATTGGTCGAAATATTTTTCACAGGGTAACGTGTCATAATACGTGAGTATTGACCACATAACTTAGTTTATTACAATACATATATTATGAGTGCACCCTTTGGTCATATCACAATAACTGTATTGCAATCACATCCATTTATCTATTCTGACTCCCGTATTATAATTACTTTTCTCACAATTTCACCATCATGTTATATTATTTCATTTCATGCATCAAAATATTTCGTCATTCAAGAGTAACATACCACTTTTTCATTAACAATCCAAGTTAACCATTTCCACATACCTCATTCATCAACAAACATTCATTTGATCACAGAAGATCCCCAAACAAATCTACACATCACACAGATCAATACAATATATCAGAGGTTGAACACTTCCAGACTCAACTCAATCCTACAATCCAACATGCATGTTTTCTTGTGGGTAATAGGATCGTCTATCCTAAAGTTTGATATAATCCGTTGTTAACAACATGCTCACTATTCTAAAACTATTAAATAGCACATCCTAACTACTCCTAACAATGTTTGCTTAGTAAAATCATAGTAATCCTCAAAGATGATTTTATTTAGAACATTTATTACAAGTTACATTAAGATAGTTATTAAAGTAGGTAAGGGTTTTCTATTTTAAACTACCCAAAAGAAGTTAGGGTTTGGGATCAACTCCCCTTACGTTGGAATGGAGACCCACCATGAAATTAATAGTAGAAATGCTCTCACATAGATTCTCGCCCTCCAAACATTCCAAACATGATCCCAATCTTCAATCTAGGGCACAAACGGTTTAAGAGGCAATTTAATCAGTGAAAAAGGCTAAAGATTGAGAAAATCGAATGAGAGGACGAAGGCAAAGTAGTAAACGCGATTTCTCCAATCCTAAACTCCTTAAATACATAGAGTGTTGCGACATTCTCGCTACAGTGAGGCATCTCTCGCTGCAATGAAACCCTTTCTCACTATAGCGAAAATACAAGACAAAACTGCAAACTAGTTTTTGCATATTCTTGTAGTGAGACCTTCTCGCTACAGCGAGACTGTACCCATAAAATATTCTCTCTCTGTTGCCTTCTCGCGAGTGGTCTCTTGCTACAGTGAGAATGTAATAGATGCACGCCTTTTGCCCAAGACCTTTTTGCTACAGTGAGAATACTCTCGCTACAGCAAAAACGTCCTTGTAAATTCAGGGTGTTACAACAACTATGTTAGTAAATCAAGGGGCATAAATGACACAAATGATTGGAGTTAATCCCATAATTATTGAAGATGTAATTGTCAAGTGCATTTCAATGCAGAATGATAAAGCATTAAACACAACACAATTATTGCAAATCCTATAATGGAGGTATCAAACGATGTGATATATGGAGAATGACTTGTTTACAAGAAAAAATAGAATGCTAAATCAAAGGAGATAATTAAGGAAGATATCTAGCAAACTACGCATGCACAAGAGCTTGAACAATTTCATCTTGCAATAAATTTCTATACTTGTTTAATGCTAAAAGCAAATTCTAATATTAGAATAGTTGTTGAAATGCTTCATAATCATACATTACAAGCCCTTCTTTGATAGATCAAGACATTTATAACTTCATTTCTTTTACAAAACTAAAACATTGAAGCAATCTGATAGCAAAAAGTCTTGTTATTTCTAAATAAATATCAAGTTCTTACTTTTGGTATCAACAATTCTTGTACTTTTAAATTCTTCTAACTTTTTCTTTTCTCTCTCTTTATATATATATATATATATATATATATATATATATATAATTTCAAAATTATAAAACTAAATTAACATGAGCATATTAATTTGTTTACATAATCAACATAAAGATTAAAGAAAATTTATCTTCACTTTTATCAATTTTTTTTTTCATCTTTGAAGTCATAAATATTTTGAAGCAAAACATCTTCATTTGTCATTATAGATTTCAAAAGATACTATTCTCTACATGTACAAAAAAATTATTAAAAAATACTTTAATATTATAATTTACAGTCAAAATTTTAATATTATATATATACAAAAATATTATATATATATATATAATTGAAAATTTAAAAAATTAAATGATAAATTAATTTTAATAAAAGAGTAATTTTATCATTTAAATATAATTTATATTTTATTCTATTAATTTTTATTTATTTCACATATTAAATGTGATAACATAAGTTTATTTTCTATACTATTATAAATTCCATCAAATATGATAAAATTTTATTCTCTCTTGTTATCATATACTATCTTTATCCAAATCTCATTTTTTTATCATTTTTTTTATTTTATCATATTCATAAAACAAATTTTTATATTATTAAGTATAATATCAATTAATTATAATTAATTGATGAAATATTAACTTAATGCATACCAAACTTTATATATTTAATCTACTTAATAAAAATTTAAATTAAATAATTAAATTGATATAATTTATATTAGAAAAAATATTAAACAAATTTAATTTTGTCAAACTTATACATGAAATAAGTGAATTATAATTCATAATAATAACAACATCATTAATAATAATAACAATAATAACATTCTTCCTATCTTTTTAACTTTTTATTATAACATTTTGATGTTGAATATTTTTAATATTTTTAAAGGTTTTATTCATTAATTTATATATAAATAAAAGTGTTTTTAGTAAATTAAAGCAAAAAAATATATATAAGGTACTTGCTATTTGTAACATATCTTAGAAATTATAAAAGAATTATTTTTTTAATATTTTAGAAATTAAAAAATATTTATGTGTTTTTTAAATAAACTACTAACTCTAAATGAACATTTAATAATATATTTTTGTAACATTATTTAATAAAATTTAGTACAAATTATTCTCAAATAGTATTTTTGAGACTAAAATTCTTTCTATTAATTTGCTTAAATGAAAGTAAAAAAATAACACGAAAAAAATATAAAAGATTCTCACAGTACTTTGTTATTAGTCACTGCCACAACGGTCCAGTATACTAAACACTACTTTCATTGTTACGTTAAACCGTAAAATAATATACTAAACAAATTAATTAAAATAATAAAATATTTATTAAATTATTTTTATATTTGTAATATATTATTTTTATTAAAATTTTAAAAATAACTCATAAAGAACTGGTATAAAATATCTATATTTAGAAACCTTTAGAATAACAATCAAAACATTTATAACACATTGAATCAACGTTTTACACTGAGAGATTTATAAAGGTCCTATAAAACTACCTTAAAAAATTGTTAAAAACAAAAAAATTAAAATTCATCAACATCTCTGTCTCTCTCTCTCTCTCTCTCTAAATCTCTTTCTAATGTACAAGTATAAACTCAGAGACTATGTACAAAGCAGCATACAAAAAAGAAAAATAAAATCCCCAAGAAGAATGAAAAAGGAAAAAGGAAAAAGAAACAAAATAATTCAGCCACTGTCCTTAAATTCTCGACGCAGAGCGTTGGAAATAGTCATCCCACCGTTGGAACAGTTAAAAGAAACTCGTTTCGGGTGACACCTGGCCAAGCTCCACCAGGTAGGACCGGAACCAATTGCCCCGGGTCAAGAAACGGGTTCGTGAACCGAGTCGACTCGTTCTTCGCCGTCACCACCGTCATCCACTTCCCCTCTATCTCGTCCATCATCACCACTCCCTTGCTCTTAACCCCACCAATCACTTCCCAGAACGCATCGTTTCTCTTTCTGTTGACAAACAAAAGCACTAACCTTCCCTTGCTCTCCTCCAACCTTTTCAAACAACTCACCAACTCCCTCAACTCCCCCACGTCAAAACGTCCCATCCTCTTCCCAATCTCCTCCACGCGCAGCAAAATCTCACGCTGAACTCGCCCGTAATCTTCCCCCACCAATCTCACCACCTCATACACCAAGTCATTCCTCTGCAAGTGCAACGTGTCAGGCACGTGACTCACACGCTCCGCAAAATCCACAAGACCATGTATTTCACCCAACAACTCACCACTGGACACCCCCAAATGCTCTCTTTCTGTTCCGTCACTCGAGCTAAGATAATAACCCAAAACCCTCGAAACCGTTAGCACATGTTCTAGAACCTTCGCGTACCAACGAACCCACGTGCTAAGCTCTAAGGCCTCAAGGTCCGCGTTGTCACGGAAGGAAGAGAGGTTAAGGGCGTTGTGGCCACCGTGGGAAGGGTAATAGGAGAGGTTGTCCTTTAACGTTAAGGGTCCTTTGGCTATTATGTTGTGTAAGGTGAAGAGGCATTTCAGTGCCACCGTGGCGTTCTGGGTTTTGTGAAGGCGGTCCATGAGGGCGTTTATGCAGGCGCGCGGCAGGATATAAGAGCCGCGGCCGGCGGATAGGATGGCGGCGATTCGGGCTTCCGATGGGGGAGTGGAGAAGTTGTGAGTGGTGGCGCGAAGGACATGGACGCGAATGGAGGACACGTGGCGCTTGATTGATAAAGATGCGACGATGACTGAGGCTTTGTCCTTTAGGTTGTGTACGAGGTTTCTCAGCCTCTTGCGTGGGGACATGGCACGGAGAAGGATGGGAAGGAAGTGTGGAGAATTCAAATGCTCTGTTCTAATTTGTTGGCGCAAACCCAATGATCTCTGTTTTCTCTTTCTCTTACAGAACTGCAGTTTTGATTTATTTATGTAAAGAAAAATATTATAAAACTTAATTTGACTTTCCAAGAAAGGGGAAACATAATTAAAATCTCAAGAGAAGGAAAATCGTTATTGCAGAAAATTAAGGATAACAATGTTCCTTTGTATTTTTTTTAATAAAATTCATTTATATATTTAAAGTAAGGTATCAAAGTAATTAATATAAAGTATAAAAAATACCTTACGGCCTTAAATGTCTTATTTTTATCTTATATACTATCATAAGGTGAATCGATAATATCTAAATATAAAAATTTAAATTTACATTAATTACTTTGATACCTTACTTTAAATATATAAATAAATATTGTTAAAAATAATATATAATTTAATATTTTAAATAATAATTAAGAAGGTGAATAGATAATTCGTGCTCAAAATTAATAATAATAATAAGAATTTTGTTAATAAAAGAATGAAGATATAACTAATAATAATAATAAAATTTTATTAAAAAGAGAAATATTTAGTATATTTTTATAATTTTAAATAATAATTATGTAATTTTTTATAAATTTTTTTTATTTGTGAATATTTAAATTTGATCTTAAAAGTTGAAGTTAATAAAATTTTAATAATAATAATTATTATTATTATATATTGCTGTAGAAAAAAAAAATGATTATATAAGTTACACATGACATAAAGTCTACTTTCAGAATTTTTTTTAAATAGTAATATCAGATTGGGGAATTAATTTCCCTAATGAAATGTAACACGATTAAATAATGTCTAAATATGAAAATAATGCTAATCAATTTAAATATATAAGTTAAAAATTTTGAACACAGTATAATTTGTTTTGGAAAATGATTAAAAAGATGATAGGTAATATAAATAAATCTACTTAAGAAATTTTATTTAAAAATAGTATTAATGATATCGCGAAGAAGGAACCATAGAATTTGTTTGAAGTGGATGGAAGACAACTATTATACGTATGAACATGACGTTGTGGATTTAATTTGACCACTTCAAGAAATTGTCAAATTAACTGCGTAAATCATTTTGCTTTTTCCCAATTGTGTTATTCAAAGATAGTTTTATATCATTTCACCAATTTATCGAGCCTTAATTCAAAGACACGTTTGTGAATTAATACCGCGGATGCAGCCTTTGAATTTTTGCTTTGGGTTTGGATAGAGATGGTAAAGTTACTCGAACTCGCAAATATTTGCAAGTAAAAATTTTTATTAATGAAAATATTTATTCTTGTAAATATTTGTACATTTATTTAAGTAATTTTTATTTATTTATAAATAAAAAAGTATTAAAGTACTTGTATTTATAGATATTTATATTTGTAAAATTATTTAAATGCCTATGTATATTTAAAAAAAATACTTTTCTAAATTATTATTTTATGATAATTTTAATATATTCAATTAAATATTATTGTAATAAAACATTGTACTATTTTTATAATTTGAATATTTTATTTTTCATTATTTATTATGTTGTATATAAATTACTTTAAATTAAGTTACTTTTAAAATTTTAATAAACATCTATGAATATTCATAATAATTGGGTAAATGTTTTCTTTCGCTTCAAAAGTTGACGTTGGAATCACAAAAAGATTGAAGGCGTGATCTTCTCTTCCGTTAAGAAAAAAAAATCTGGTTTTGTTTCTTCAATTTATTTATTCTTGAACTTGATGGGCTCTTGCGTATGTATTTTATTTTATATATTTTTAATTGCAGTCGGCTGCACAGTCCTGGACATTTGGAAATCAAAGCAACTAAAATGATGTTGTAATCTCGATTATTGAATAAGTCTTTCATCCATGATGTAGTAATTGGGAATTAATCATCTTATTATCAGAATATTGTTTTTAGTAAATACTAATTAGTACTTCTTAGTTAAAGAATGAACAATATTATTTAAAAAAAAAAATATTATGTATCTTTTTCACAATTTTTCATCTATTTTAGAATGATTTTTAACTAAAAACCCTTCCAATTTCTTGCTATGCTATTATAAAAAAATCCCATAAGTAGGATCGTTTTAATTTTTATATTTATAATTATAAATTATAAGTTTAATGAATACATACACAGGATATTTTTAATGTTGCAAGATTATTATTATTTTAGTTGATACATACTGTTGAGAAAGTTCATACTATAGTATAGAATAGGCCAGCCTCTTACTTATAGACAATCATAGATATTGATCAACCTTACCATACATTTGTATAGCAGGTTTGCAACCAATTATTTATAGGAAAATAATTATTTATTTCATGGTATTTAAAAGAATTAATGAATTTTTAACTTTTAGGCAGATAATTGATTTGATTAGAAAATTCGACAAAAGCTCATAATTTATATTGATTATTTTTAATTGCAAATATATTAATTCAAGTATATAATAAATATATTTATGACTTGATTTTGTATATCTTATACATTTTAGCATTTAATCATATAAATAAAAAAATAAAGAGGAATAGAAAACCAAGGCCATTCTAATTTATTTGCATTGAGTCATTTTCTTTCTGTGAAATGAAAATCTATATAAACTTATTGCGTTTTTCATACTATTCCATTAACATGTGAATTAGTGTTATAAAAATGTGTTTGGATCGCTCCATTCAATCAATAAACTAGTAAAGCGGTTTATTAAGCCATCCGTGCAATTCTACTATTAGATCCCTCATGTGATACTTTTGAAAATTTATAATGATTAAAATATAAAAATTATGCAATATCTTTTAAAACACCAAGTTTTAGAAAATAAGGTTTCAATCCTAAAAGCTAATTCATAAGATATCTATAAGAATTTAATTAACATTTAATTTTAAGTATTTATGTATGATCATGTAGCCTAAATTTATTCTTCTTATGCATTCTTGTATTATTGTTTTTTCCTATGTAAAATTTCCTTTTTACTTACGAAGGACATTTATATCTAATCTATCTTTAAAGATAAAAGTATTAACTTAAAATTTGAGCAATTAAGATAATTATTAATTTCTCTTACATTAAATTCCAGATAAATATTAACTAATAACACTAGTTAAGAAATTTAAAATGAAAAATAAATAAATAAATATTATTAATACATGTTTCTAGTAATTTTTAATACTTTTCAACATAATATTCAATAAAAACTTTTATTTTCACTTCTTAACTAGTTCAGTAGTTAGGAAGAACGTAAATTTTAATTGTCCAATAGATTGTCAATGACTCAAAAATAGGTCAGCTTGTACTTATATGCAGAACTAGGGACAACAAATTAACGTGACTCGCATGTCGACCATTTATTTTCACAAAGTCAAAAGTCAAAATCAAAAAAAGAAATTCACAAAGTCATAATTAATTAATTTTGAGAGGCGGGCTGCATTAAGCGCATACAACCATTGTGCCTGGATTTTGAACTACACAAGTCTAACTTACCTTCCAAGAACATGATCAAATATGAAACTAAAAACTAAAATATGATGAAACATAGGCATATTCAGATACAGGAAATGCATGCATGAAGGGGTTCTACTAATTAAAGGGAATATAAGAGTTTCTATTCAAATTCGAACACGATCCAAGCAGGATTTTCTGTCGAGTTCATGGCTTTGCTGAAGCTGCAAATAATCTCTATATTTGATGGCACGATATGCTGGGGGAGTATTCTCGTTAAGCAACTCAGGTGCAGGGCCAACAATGTTGTCAAGGGGTGGCCCGTGTGCAATGCCAACGGAAATTCTAGGACCTTTCTTATTCACTACAGCACGATGAACAACGCTCTTGTATTTTCCGTTGGTCAGAATCTGAGCACAAACGTAAGTTATGTTAGATCTTTTGGGGGATTAATAAGGATATGTTTATGAAAGAGTGATTTTTGTTTTACCTCGAGGTGATCCCCAGTGTTGATGAGAAAGGAGTTAGGTAAAGGGTGTACAGGAATCCACTTTTCGTTGTGTTGAATTTGAAGCCCTCCAAGGTCGTTTTGCATTAGGAGGGTCAGAAGCCCATGGTCTGTGTGGGCAGGAAGGCCCATTACAAGTTCGGGCTTAGGACAAGGTGGGTAAAAGTTGATAACCAGCAATTGGGAGCCCAGCTCTACATTCATTCTTTTATGTATGTAGTTTTCTTCTAGGCCCAAGCTCGTAGATATTCCTTTTAGCAACTCGCTAGTCAGTTCCCTGGCCTTTTTGCTGTATTCCTCTAAAGTTTCGCTGCAAACATCCCAAGGGAAAATAATAAAATAAGCAACGAACCTATGATGATTAAGCAAAATAACACTATTTAAAGTATCGGTGCTTTTTAGGTTTGGTAGTTTTCATGTGTAGAGACAAATCTTATGGTTTTCATATGATTAAGAATGTTGTGAAGTTGATCTAGATTGTGTCTGTTGTCTAAGAAATTGTAAACTCAGTCATATAAAGAATTATTATTCTCTTTTCTTGAAGAGCTTATAACGAATTCAAACTATAAAAATTTAATAATTGTCTCTTCAGTCATGCCTTTTAAATAGGGTATTCAACGACTGCGTGAAGGTCCTTTTGTCATTTTGTTGGTGTTCTCTCTTAAGAGATATTTTTAAAAACTATATATATATATATACAGTAATTATATAACTTATTTTATACATGTATATAAAAATAAAATATAAAGGAAACATTACCTATCAAAATTTTATTTCTATATGTGAAACTATTTATTTACATCATATCAGTGAGTTATTGAGAAGTTTATTTTGCTAATTATTCACTTAGCAAGGTATTATGATAACTTTTACGAAAAACTAATAAGGAATATGAAAATAATCTTTCTAAAATAAGTTAATTTAAGTTTGAAAAGATGTAATTTCTTCATAGAAAAAGATTAGAAGATGACATATATATATCTCACTAAAAAAAGGGATTTATTTTTCAGTTTACAATTTCTTTTTCCGGTCGCCTAAGACACACATTATGAGCTTTGGCAGAAGGGTTTTGTAGTGACCCTTGAGTGTATGAAGGGTAACGAGAATGGAAAATAGGACTATTTTTGTGAGGATCAAATATTACCTCTGTCTTTTAATTTCCATTTCATATCAATTTCGTTTAACGTATAATTGTAACAAAAAAGAGCAAAGAACTACTCAGAGAACGCTTACTTACTTTACTTTAAATGTTTACTTACTCTCTTTTGTTTTGCATAAATAGTTGAGGAACTGCTTACAATCTCTTTTTCATGATTGATGCTAACGGTTGAATTTGGGCAAAAGAAAAGGATGGTTATGGTAATGGTAATGGTAATGGACCCAAAACTTGATAAGCCGAGAACCAGACATCTCATCTACCACCGACAAAATGGGCCAAATTAAAGAAAAGGACATTTTATGTATCAAACAAAAGTAATAGATTAGAATGCGTTTATTTCAAATTTTTTATAAAAAAATATTTTTCTTCAAAAAATTAAAGTGAAAAATATTTTTAATTATTTTTTACTTTAAGTAATTTTTCAAATACAATCGTGACTATCTTTTAAAATAGAAAATGTTTTATCAATATAATAAAATAAAAAAGGTCTTCTTCACGTAAAAAAATTAAATTTTTTTTATATACCTTTAAATAACTTTTTCTAAAGCTGAAATAAAAACGGTCCTAAGTTTTCTCTTACATATAATAAGAATTAATAAGATCGTGAAGTTTTTTGATACTCTTGTAATATCTGTTTTTTTCCCGTCTATTCAGTAATTTTCTTATATTTATAGTATGTAATCTAAGAGTGCTGAAAAAAGTTTCATGGATCATCCTACTGAAAAGGTAAACACAAATTTTCTCATTACATAAACTGTCAATCTAAATCCATAAATGCATTGAAAACAAGAAATAAGATAACCGATTTTCTGTAACTATCGGAAACGGTAGAAAATCATGACAGAAAAACAATTTGAATCGTAATGCAAAATATTAATATAATTTTTTTAAAAATAACTGCTGCTGAGGATCTGTCCGCAAAGGCATAGATCTAAAAGAGAAAATGGATATGATGACCTTAATATATGATTTGGCCCATCCCACAATTCGTTGTCTCCCATTAGGGCTAAAATTTTCTCCTCCCTTAATAGTGCTAAGTTGTGGAAGCCAGATTTCTGTACTAGATTTTACTTTGAATAAAATAAGAAGTGGAGTTATTATTAATTTGTTTAATCCAAATTACGTAAATAAAAATCTATGGGGTTGCAGAGTTTTATAATATCTTTTCTTTTGGAGTGGTAGCATTACCATTGAAATTGATTCATCAACGGAAAGTAGCCGCCTGAGGGGACAGTATGATCTAGTGGGTGTTTCTTCCTTTTCATGAATGCACAATAGTCAAGGAAAAGGAGTGTTTGGACATCTAGAAAATAAGATGAAAACTTTGCAATTACGATGATAAGCTAGCTTGATGTGCAAAGGACAAGGTAGAAATATACAAAAGTTAAAATTATAACAATACATAACATAATCTTTCTTGTCAGGAAGTGAAGGCTTTTTTCTTTTCTATTACTTGAAACTAGAACAATACATAACATAAAACTGGAAGCAGTGACTTGGTGATGAAAATCAATAGAACAGGTTTGGAATGGTTTAGGTCTGCGACATAAACTGACTTGGCTTTGAAGCAGAATGTAATCTCAATTGTAAATCTCATCTCCACTGTCATTAAGTTTGGGAAAAGTACATAAATTACGGACACTTTGGATGACAACTTGATCAGTGGACTGACAAATTTTAATAACACTCTTAGAGTTTGTTTGCTTTTTCTTTTGAAAACTGTTTTTTACTTTTTAAAAGTAAAATAAAATAAAATATATTCGTTAACGTAAATTTTATTTTCATTTTTTTTTTCTTAAAAGCAGTTTTCTAAAATTGTTTTAAAATATAATTTTTAAAATTAAAAGCAAGCAAGCAAGCAAGCAAGCAAGCAAACAAACCCTAACCTATGTACTCCTTGTATTCCTTGCACTGATTTTTAATAATTTTTTCGCTAATAAAAAAATTATTGGAATGGTTCATTATTTTTGTAGTCAGGCATATGTACATACATATAAAATGAAACAATATATATACACATGAAAAATATATCAAATTAGTTCTTAAAAGAATGAATAATAATTAATTTATTTTTAAATTACAGAAAATGTCATTTTAAATTATATATATATATACACACAGAAACATTTAGTACTTGAAATATTTTAACCAGAGACTAAAAATTATGAAGATTTTATAATTTCAAGGATGGATTAAAACATATCTCTTTATAAATCAACAAAAGTTAAATTGACTGATGTTTTAAATTAAATTCAAATAATCAATTTGATATATTGTTTAGATACATATATACCAGCGCCATAGAGAGGAAGAAGCACTAGATTTTGGTGGGAAAAATAAAGATAGGTCAGTAATCACTCTTTCAAGCCATGAGACTAAAAAGTAGAGATTCGTGTGATGCTTTGACTACTTTGGATAGGTTAGTCATCACTCTGGTGAAGAAGGTTATCTAGGCAAGAGTAATTTTTAACTCAATCTTAATTATTAGATAGAATTTATTAAAAATTATTAAAATATTAAATTAAGAATAAAAAAATAAAACTCACGTAGTTTTCTTAGTTTTTAATAAATTATAATTAATAATTAAAAATATGTTTAAAAAAAGTATATTGCTGGTATTTTACCAATTTCAATTATTGATATGGTTTTGCATAGCAATTGAGAAAGAGAGCAAAATCTAATATACAATGAAAATTTAAATTTTATTTTATTCTTTTAATAAATTTTTTAATAATTCTTTTTTCTGCTTTATTAAGTACCAATTAAATAAAAAATATCCATTTATTATCTTAAAGAAATAAAAAAAATCAAATTATAATCATATTATAAGAAAATTTAGAATTAATTATTCTTAAGATTTTGGCTCCGTAGATGGAAAACAAACACTTTAGAGGCCAGAGGGGATCCTACAAATTTTCACCACCCACCCAATATGCATTAATTAGATTGTAACAAAACATTAACAACCAAAATTAAGAGATATAAGTGATACTCTTATAAGCTAGCTCAGAGTATATCACGCGTATAAGTAAACAGATTAAGGTTTATTTTGGACAAATACCGAGATGGCTCAAAAGGGTTGAAGAAGAAGAATAGAACAAAGTGAAAGAAAAAACTAAGATCAGTGAGGATCGTACCTAAATCCATGGGGCTTGGAAGGAGCATTGAAGTGAGGGTGAACGTGACATTTGAGATAATCTCTCCAGAAAAGAGTCTTGTCCACCATGACATTGAAGCTTGTACCACATCTTATTGGATCAAATAGCTTCTCTCCTGCGTACTGCCTCTTCTCTTCCTCAGTCAGATCAAAAAAGCTTTGGCTTGTCCTAAGTAGCTCATCCCTCAGTGTCTCCGACACCCCATGATTGATTAGCTACAGAATTAACAAGAAAACAAATTTTATCTGCATGCATGACGGAGGAAACTCTAATACGCATAGCATGATTTTCAAAAGACAGTTCATGTTTGATTTAGCTTATTTAAAGAAATAATTATTTATTTTAATAAATTACCTACTAACACATATATATATATAAAAAAAAAAACTATATTGTTTTTTCAAATTTAAGTGTCTCCAAACATGCACTTATATACCATAAAGAAACCCCAATCACGGCAAGCATAGCCTAGTTGTTGGATTGCCTTGGAGCTTTCATCGGGATTGGAAGAGGTGAGTTGGGAAAAATCAATGGTTGGAATATTCTCTTCTTCATACAATAAGGAATCTTCGGGACTTTTAAGGCAAATGTAGTTGGAGGGAACAGACCTCGAACAATTCGATTCAACTAAATCCTTAACGCTAAACATCTTTTTAGTCTTCAGAGGTGGTTCTGCTCGGTCAGGGTTTGGGTAATGGAGTGGAGAAAGTAAATGGGTATATATAACACGTGACTTTATAAGTCGCTTCTCAATTTTCATCTGGTAAGTGGGGCTTTATATAGCGAAAGAAACTGAACTCCAGTGCTACTAATACGTGGAGTAGATTAATTCGTAAGTGCTATGCATGGTCTACCAAATAAAATTTTCAAGGCATTTGGACATGTGCATATCCTTATTAGAATTTGTGCGACTTAATTAAGGAATCTATTTTTCTAAACACGACATAATACTTTAGCTTCATAATTCTATTGTTTATATATTATTTTATTTATTTGACTTATTAACGAGTTGTTGTCTAACATATTAACCACAAATAATAGATATTTTTTTATATAAAATAATTATATATGCCAAAAAAGGGAGGGGGGGGGGGGACCTGGCCTTAATTACGACAAAAGAAATTTCAGCAATTCAAGAAATGACAATAGATCGGAATCTCTTTTTTAATTAAAAAAATAATATAGACAATATATATATATATATATATATATATATATATATATATATATTCCTATACAACTTGCTTTGATATGTAATTTTTTTAATATCTATATTCTTTTTATAGTTCAATTCTCCATATTGTAATTGCTTTTAATATCAATTGCTTACCTTTTTTTTTCTTTTTTCAGTTTTTCAATTGTTGTCATAATATCTATCTTGAAGCCTTGTTTGAAGAGGTTGCAAGTTTTGAATTTTTAATTTTTAAAACATTATTTTTTAAATAAAATATATTTAGTTAAAATAGAAATGAATTATTTTTCAACTTAATTTAAAAATATTTTTACATTAGTTTTTTTCTAAAGATTTAAATACACGTTTGAACAATCACCCAATTCAATTATTAATTCAATCAAATAACTTAATTGAATAGAGTTACGAATTAAATCAAATAATCATTTAACCTAATTCACATTAATTATCAAATTAGAGCATCAATCGAGTCCTAATTTAAAATCTAACAACAGAAAAGTCAACCACAATCGCAATAAACAATTATAAGATTAGAGAAAAAAAGAGAACAAATTCAGAGCAATTAGTGTAGAACTCAAGTCAAAATTACAACGTTTGGATTCTACGGATTAAACGAGAGGTTTAGCCTTCCATCAAAATGTTTAACCCACGCAAGAATGAGAAAAGAACGAGAGAGTTCGAGAAAAAGTAAAAATAAAGATTCTTATTTCGGCCAAGTCTCAAAATCTTAAAGTGTCTACTTACCCTCTCCCTTAATTCAGAACCTTATTATTCTATTTATATGTTCTGAAGGATAAATTAAGTTGTCAAAATGTGGGCCTTAATAATATCTAAAAGTCCAAATACAATTATTAAATAACAAGGGTCCAAATGCAATCCCGCAATAATATTTAGCAAATCTATCTCAACTTCAAAAAATCATAAAAAATAAAAAACAACTCCAAATCCAACGATCTATATATGCATTTTGAATTCTTGGATGTGTAGAATCCAATGCAACTAGAATTAGCAAAAAATGATATCTGTAGAAAAAGTTATGGCCAAAAGAGTAGTCAGAAGTTAAGATAACTGAAAATACGAAATTAAAGCATTTATTTGTAATATGCCCAATTTATTCAAATCAGTAGAAAATGGTAAAAACTATAAAAATAAAGCATATGAAAAGTATTTATTAATCAAAATAAAACATTAAATGTAAACATAAAATATGTTACATCAAATTCCCCCACACTTAAGATTTTGTCCTCCAGGATAAATCACAAAATCAAACCATAGAGGACTTAAAACAAATTAGGTTATGAACATAGCCCATCAAGTTCAAATATCATAGCTAAAATGGAAATCAATCTTCACACTTCAAATTGACAAATGGACTTGTCAAATCAAGTGGATGAACCATAAGAGATAGAATTCTCACACGATATACTCTCAATCACTCAGGTGTATAAGGTAAAGTGCGTCACTCAAAATGCACAACATGAAGCATGATCATCCATAAGCTTGTCCATTGCCTACTTCTCCACTAGAATTTACACATACACACAAAAATGAAGAGGACTTTTCTAGGTTACAAAGAGGCAAAGGTAATCAAGCTAAAACCAAAAAGGATATAAGAACAATGGAGAATAAATCCAAAGAAAGTAAGCATAAAAGTAAATCCCCTAAACAAAAATATAATGTAATACAATCCAAAAACAATCCTTTTTTACTTTTGCTAGCCTTCCAATGCTCATTTTTCTTTTTATTACTTACTTTTTTTTTCTTTTTTTTTCTTTGTTTCTCATTTTTTTAGTAGCTAATTTTTCTTTTCTCTTGCATTTTGTAAAGTAATCTGCCCCACACTTATTTCTATGATCATTCCCAAAATAATTCCAAAGTTCTTGTATTTCTTAAGGTTGGGTCATTTTATTGTTTTACACCTTTGGCTTGAAATGAGCTAAGATAACAATAAATAGGACAATTTTAAGCTAAAGGGAGCTTAAACAATGGAAATAATGCAAGGTTGGCTTTTTGGTTAGTAGTTTACAAGAAAGAAATGATGTCTCTATCATGTTAATGCAAGCATATGGAAATATAGTCTCAAAAAAGGCTCAAGGGAAGTTTTAGTATACAACTATGAGTGCAATCACACAATAAAGGAAAGTAAAATAACATGATATTGTCATCTATATGGCTCAAAATCTCACAAGGTATGTATTCTATCACAAATAATCAAACACACAAGATACCAAAGTCCACGTATCAAGCCAAAGAATGATTCAATCAATCGATTAAAGTCATTAAATAGTCACTTAATTAGACTAAGTACACACAAAAAACATAGTACTCCTTCCCATTTAAAATTAATATTGTCCTCAATGGAAAAAACAATAAGCATAAGGACAATTCAAACAATCCAATAAGTGAAAGAGAGATAAGAAAACTCCCTATAAATTGGGGTAGGTGGCCAATTTGAAAGTGGCCTTCTCTTGTTTGTATTCTCCCAAGCCCTCATGAAAAATCTTGAGTCGATGCCCATTAACTTTGAAGCTCCTATCCCATATCCTGAAGTTCAACAACACCATAAGGAAAAACGTTAATAACAAGAAATGGACCATCCCACTTAGATCTCAATTTACTAGGCATCAACTTAAGTCTAGAATTATATAAAAGGACTTTGTCACTAATGTGAAACTCTTTACGCCCTATTAGCTTATCATGGAAAGCCTTGGTGCGCTCTTTGTAGATGTTAGAGTTCTCATATGCTTCTCTACGAATTTCTTCCAAATCTTGTAATTGAAGCTTCCTATGCGAGCTAGCTGCCTCTATATCTAGGTTACATTGCTTGATCACCCAGAATGCCTTATGCTCCACTTCTACTGGTAGATGACATGCCTTGCCAAAAATAACCCGATAAGGAGACAGTCCTATAGGTGTTTTGTAAGCAGTTCTGTAAGCCTACAGAGCTTCCTCTAAGTGTAAACTCCAATCCTTTCTGTTAGGTTGAACAATCTTCTCTAGGATTTGCTTTATTTCCTGATTGGAGATCTTTGCTTGTCCGTTAGTCTAAAGGTGGTATGGTGTAAAAACTTTATGCATAACCCCAAACTTCTGAAGTAAGGCAGCCATTGTGTGATTGCAAAAGTATGATCCCTTGTCACTGATTAATGCACTGGAAAATCCAAACATGCAGAAAATATGTGACTTTACAAAATCTACAATAATACGAGCATCATCAGTATGAGTGGCCTTTGTCTCTACCCACTTGGAGACATAATCTACTGCTAACAAAATATAGGTATAGCCAAATGAAATAGGAAAGGAACCCATAAAATCTATGCCCCATACATCAAACACCTCACAGAAAAGGAGAGGTAGTTAGGGCATCTCATTCCAGCGTGAGATATTCCCAGTCCTTTGGTATCGTTCGCATGTTCTACAAAAGTTATGTGTATCTCAGAACATGGTAGGCCAATATAGTCCAGAATCTTAAATCTTTCGAGTTGTACATTGAGGTCCAAAGTGTCCCCCACAAGCCAAGGAATGGAAAAATCTAAGCACAAACTGGAACTCAGGTTTTGATACACATTGTCTGATAATCTTGTCATTGCACATCTTCCATAAGTATGGATCATCCCAAATGTAGTATTTGGAATCACTCTTCAGTTTGGCAGCTTGAGCTTTGGAAAACTATGTAGAAATGTCCTTGGCAGCCAAATAATTCACCAAGTCTGCATACCAAGGATCATGCCCTCCAATGTGGTAAAGCCGCTCATTTGGAAAGGTATCTCTAATAGGGAGATCCTCCAGTGCCACTAAGTTTTCTGCACCACTTTTTATCTCTGATCTCAATGTCAAACTCTTACAAAAGAAGCATCCAACAAATTAGTCTCGGTTTAGAATATGATTTCTTAAGCAAGTACCTCAAATCTGCATGATCAGAGAAAACAATTACTTTAGAGTAAAGTAAATATGAACGAAATTTATCTAAAGTAAAAATAATGGCTAAAATTTCTTTTTCTGTAGTGGTGTAGTTTGCTTGTGCTTTATCCAATGTCTGAGAAGTATAGGCTATGACATGGGATTGTTTCTCCACTTTTTGACCACGGACAACACCAATTGCAAAGTTTGAAGCATCACACATAAGCTCGAACGAGATCTCCCAACTTGGAGGCTGAATGATAGGAGTGGAAGTGAGGCATCCTTCAGCTCATCGAAAGCTTCCTTGCAGGTTTGATCAAACATAAAATCAGCATCTTTTTGCAAAAGGTAGATAATGGGGATGCGATTCTGCTGAAATCCTTGATGAAGCGCCTATAGAAACCTGCATGGCCAAGAAAAGAACGCACTTCTTTCATAGAAGTAGGGTAAGGTAAAGAAACAATTACATCAATCTTGGCTCTATCAGTCTCAATACCCTTATTTAACACTACATGCCCTAGTACAGTCCCTTCAGTCACCATAAAATAACATTTCTC